TTTTTTTTAATTGTAACACGTCATTGTGCCAAATAATGATGACCTTCAACTGCATGTTTAAAACTAATAATAACTTTACCCAGTGAACAGGTGCAATATTGATAATCACCAACAGTGAATTTAGAGGGGCATTTCACTTTTTCTGATTTAGTCATAAGTCTACTCATAACCAAAAGGGACAGAGCATCATGCAGCCTTCATAACAGAAAATGACACCGTGTTATGATGACAAAAAAACAAAAACATTTGTCACCATAAGTCAGATAACATAAAGAAAACATCACTTCGTTGTCATTACTCTTCTTCAGTGATAGAGCTTGGTGATGTTTCAAACTGTTCAACACTGCCACCAACTGTTCAGGAGGATTATTACACCCCTAAAGGTTGTTTCACTGTGGAAGGGGTGTGTACAGCAGGGTGGCCAATGGGGTGGCCAAAGCTTTGTCTATGGTGGCCATGGCCACCCCTGGCCACCCCCTGGCTCTGCCCCTGCTCCACCAGGTCATAAATCTGATGAGATCATACTCTCGTTAGATGCTGAAAAACCATTCGACCGGTTTGAGTGGAACTACCTTTTTAAAACCCTAGAGATGTTTAATTTTGGTCCCAAATTTATATCATTGGTGAAGCGGATATTCACTTTACCAATGGCGACAGTACTCACTAATTGTAATTTATCCAAATATTTTGAACTGAAATGAGGTACGACAGGGGTGCTCGCTCTCACCACATTTATTCGCAATTGCAATTGAGCCATTTGCTGTAGTTTTGTGTCATAGTTCAGCAACTAAAAGGTATAAATCAATCTGGTATTGAACATAAAGTTTCTTTATATGCTGATGATGCACTGTTATATATTTCAGACTCCCTGTCTAGTATTCCTGAGTTACTTGCCTTACTTCAAAAATTTGGGAGAACATCTGGTTATGAGGTTAAACTACAAAAAAGTGAGCTGATGCCTGTGACTTCAATAGATGTGGAACTCTTAGATCTTGTTCCTTTTAAAATTAGCTCTAACAAATTCAAATACCTTGGTATTTGGATAACTCGTAGCTATAAACAACTTTACAAGGTGAATTCTCTCTCCTAGTGAATCTAAGGAAAGACGTAGCCAGGTGGACATCTCTCCCCCTCTCATTGGGGGGAAGAATCAATTTGATCTAAATGACCATACTGCCCAAATTTCATTCTTTATTTATTTCAGAATGTTCCAGTGTTCCTTACTAAATCTTTTTTAAAACCTAAACAGCAAGCTATCAACATTCATTTGGAATTAAAAAAAATCCACGGATTGGCAGTAAAATATTGCAACAACCCTGTAGCATTGGAGGCACGTCATTTCCTAATTTCATGTAGTATTTCTGGGCAGCTAACATTAGAGCCTTACTGTAGTGGTTAAAAAAGGACACCCCTGTTCCAAGTTGGGTGGCCTTGGAAAGGAGCTCAGTTACAGCTAGTTCTCTCTCTGCTTTACTATGCTCACAGTTACCTTTTAAACCAGTGGTTCCCAAACTTTTTATCTTCTGACCCACAAAATATCCATGGCAAAAATTGTGACCCCAAATGTTACTAGTCTGAGTACACAAACTTTGTTTATAACCCTAAAAACACAGGTTTTTGACAATCTAAACAGCTTGTACACAAATATAAATACTTATTTATACTTATTTTGTGTTTTTGTAATAATAATAGGGAAAATATTACATCAGCAATTATTTTATTACC